ACACACACACCAATATAACTTTATCAATTATTAGTCACTTAATAAATTTCAATTAAATGATTATATTTCAAAACTCACCATTAGATTAGAAGTTCTTTTCTCCTAGATTATATATACAAAAATTTATATTAATACAAAATTATTTGATACACCCTTTACATTCTAAAATATACTAACTTCTTATTATTGTTTAATTTTAATAAAATTTGACATATAAATTCAAGGTAATACAATGTTATAATTCAATGTTTGAATCGACAAAATTTACTTTCAATTTAAAGTTATTGAACGATGTAATAGTTGTAAAAGTTGCTTCGGTATAATTTGATCACTTTTGATAGACAATGAATCAAACCAACTCGACATTAGTTTCATATTTATATCAATAATTAATCCGTTCAACTCCATTTGCGAACCAAATGAGTTGAATCTAGGATAAAATATAAGCTCACATTAAATAAATGAGTCAAGCTTGATCTACATTTTGTTCATGAATTAACTTATATATATATATATATATATATAAATATTTCAGCTATCCAACTGTTCAATTTAAAATTTTTAATGCATATATCAAGTCTTCAAATTTTTTAAAACTTTGAAAATCATTTGATATTTTGTTTCATTAATTCAAATTGATGAATAATTATAAAAGTATTTTATACATTGAATTGAATTAATGAAGCAAAATATCATATAGTTTTCATTTTTTTTTGAAAATTTGCATACTTGATCTATGTATTAAGAACTTTAATTAAATTCAATGGTTGGATCATTGAAATTTGATATAGAACATGAGTTATTGAATTAGGTAAATTTACTCTTAGAGTAAATAGATCCCTCTCTATGTATTTATATATATAATTCATAAATTGATTTGAAACTTAATTATATTAATCTTATCATATTAAATATCATGTTTATTATATATTATATTAATAATATTAAATTAATGTATTCAAGTTTATAATTAATATTTGTTATTATTTTATAAAATAAATAAAAATATGTAACGAAATCATAATTTTAAATTGAATCCAGCTAACAATATGAATTGAATTGTTCAAAAACTGAAATCAATACAAGGTTCATAACCAAGAACTTTCAAGGTTCTACCTTTTATCATTTTTTATGGTATATTTCACAAACTAATTTTAGAAATAACCCAAAGATTTCTCTTAGGTTGTTTTTATATGAGGAAATTTAAAATTTGCATTTTTTTTTGAAATTTTAATCATTTTGATTGAATTCAAATTTCTTAAATTTCAAATACTTAATTTAGACAACACAACTTAATTTTCACCATATACAAAAATTATTTTTAATATATGTTTAAATTTGAAATTTTCAATATTAAATTTTTTTATTGAAATAAAAATTAGTTAAAATTAATTATTCAAAAATTGAACAAGAGATAGTATTTAATAATTCAATAATAATTTAAAATATTTAATAATTCAAAAAAAATTGATAAATTATACATCAATATTTATTAGGATAAAATAATATAGGAGAAAAAATAGGAAGAGGAAGAATTGAAAAAATGAGAGAGATGAAATAAAAAAAGAAAAAGAGAAAAAGAAAATGAAAAAGAGCAGGGAGTGTTAAAGAGGTGAAAGAGAGAGAAGCGAGAAAGGGGAGAAAGAAGACCTAAGATATAGAGAGAGAAAAAAAAATAGAAAAGAAAAAAAGATATAAAAAATCTCAATGGTTTAAGTGAGATTATTGGATAAAAAAATTATATGTAATTCTACTAAAAAGTTTTAAAAAATTTATCGTTCAAAATAATATATTAAAATCTTTGTTTTTGAATTCTAAATAATTTTTTTAAGTGAAAAAGAGTCTTAATTGAATACTAACAAATTTTAATGTATTTTTAAAATTATAATTCTCTTAGTTGAATATTACAAGACTTTTTTATATTGATTAAATACAATAAAAATTTTCAATGCTAATAAAAGTCTTTCAAAATCTTTTGAAATCCTAATCTAATACACCTTCTGCTTATTTGATCAAGTCAAGCAAAATGAAAGGTTTCCTTTCACTTGATTTCCTGAGTTATTTCAAAATTTACAAGTGGTGCAGGTTGCAAAGGGCATATAAAGTCAACTATGCCCAAACATTTTTGGTATAGAGTATAAAATTAATACTGGAATCCTAAATTAATCATTAAATTTTTTTTATACATGTATTTACTCCAAAATGTTGAATATGGTAGATTATATGTATATGCGTTACCATTTTAAGCATACCATATAAGGCTTTCAAATGAGATTTGTACAATCACTTATTCCAAAAAAAAAAATTAATGCGTCAAAAACACTTGTTAGTAAACTCTCATAGGCATATTTTCTTTGCTAAAGAAAACTCTGAGCGTGCCTATAAATTGAACCCAACCCTTCCACTAAGGCACACCTCATATTCATATTTCATATCATAAAAGAAAGCATAGGCTATAATCCATGGATTCAAAAAATGTGTCAAACATGAATGTTGTTGTTAAGAAGACAAAGGGTCGGCAAAAGATTGAGATGAAAAAGATAAGCAACGAGCGGAACCTTCACGTGACGTTCTCTAAGCGTCGCAATGGTATTTTTAAGAAAGCGAGTGAGCTTGCAACCCTTTGCGGCGTGGACCTTGCTGTTATCGTGTTCTCACCTGGTCAACGAGTTTTCTCCTTTGGCACCCCTAGTGTTGATTCTGTCATCCAACGCTACACGGGGCAAGCCCCACCTCCCCTCCTTAACTTAGACCTCAACGAGGCCCACCTCACCGTGGACGAGCGCGAGCTCCACGCACACCTTGGTTACCTATCCAACCAGATTACTATAGAGAAAAAGCGTGATGAAGAATTGAATCATTTGCTGAAGACTGCAAAGAATAACTTTTGGTGGGCCACCCCAATTGAAAGAATGGACAAAACCCAACTTGAGAAGTTCAAGACTGCATTGCTGGATTTGAAGACACATATTAATTTGAAAAAACAAAAGCTCCTGAATGAGAGCACTTATATCTCTCCTCACATTTTTGCAGGTGGAAGCTCTTCCTCCAATGTTAATAACAATGCGACTGTGCTTCCACAACCATTGTTGAGGAACCTTGTGATTGATGGGAGCATCACTAGCCACCAACAATTTAATAAGAACTTAGATGGACATGAACATGGACCTGGACCTACTTTTAGGTTCTTTTGATTCTTATAGAAGAGATCCTTTATTGATGATGCCTCATTTAGTTATTTAAATTATATGTTTGTGTTGTTTAATTTTCGTTTAAAGTGAACTTTAGCGTAATGGGTCTCATGTGTGGGATATGCTTAGGATTGACTAGCTAGGGTTCAAGTTTTTGTTGTTTTGAGTAATCTTCATCTTGGGTTGAAGAATTGTGTTTCCTTTAGGTCGTTTCTATGGTTCACAATTAGGGACTATGGTGTTGCATGTTGTTCTACATGTGTTTGAATAAAAAGGCATCCTATTTATTTATATATTCAATTCTCTTCAAAATTGCAATCTAGTAAACTTCAGACAATTTCTTTGTAATTCCTTCATGGGAAATTAGATTGTTCAAAAATCAATATGAAATTAACAAATAATGCATATGCATTTTTAATATGATACTATATGGAAGAGTGTGGATTAGGTTTGTATGTATCAAAAGATGTATTGTACAAAAGATTCAAATTAGTTGGACTCAAATTTCTTTTCATTGTTTAAGCTTGTGCTTATTAAGTCTCGAAGGCATGCATTTTTCACTCATTTTTTTATCTTTTTTTTTTTTTTTTTTTTTTTTTTTTTTTTTTTTTTTTTTTT